TCCTCCACATGTATCGATAACGTTTTCTGTCACAATGAAGTATATGACAAATCTATTATAAATTATCTGAGCTCTGATCATCTTGGTTTAAAATTTTCAATAAATGAAAACATTACTACAAGTGAAATTAAGATCAGGTGTAGACCAGTCACTGCTAGGAGACTAAATTCTTTTAAAGATAAAGTAGCACAGCATGTATTCCATAAAGATATCGGAATCAATAACCCTAATGATTGTTATAGATCAATAGTTGATTTTCTCATAACTTCCTATAAGCATATTTTTAAACCCCGCACAATTGTTAAAAAATCAAAATTAAAATTTAGTGATTGGGCAACAGTGGATATATATAAAAGTAGGGATTCACTGTATGAATTATACAATATGAGGCAGTGGAATCACGACCCTAATTTCCATAAACGGGTACAAAATTTTTCAAAAATATTTAAAAAAGTCTGTATACATGCAAAATCTATCTACATAAGAAATAGGATTTTAAATTCTAGTAATAAAATAAAAGCTACATGGGACATCATTACCTGTACATCTGGAAGACCCAAGATATTCAGGGAACCTATAAAGCTAGTGATAGGCAATACACTCATAACTTCAGATAACGAAATTGCAAGTAGTTTTGAAAGTTATTTTTCAGAAATTGCAATTAATGTTACATGCACGTTAAAATCCTCTCCCATTGATGCAATTAATGTATTAAAAAATAATGTTACCCATTGTCTACAAACGTTTAAATTTAATCACATAGATACCAATGATATTATAAAAGATTTGAATTCTATTAATCTTAAAAATACAGGAGAATTGTGGGGCATGTCCATAAAATTAATGAGTACAATAATGCCGTATATTGCACCATATTTGGCAAATATTTTTAACAAATGTATAGATTCTGGAAGATTTCCAGATCTTATGAAATTCAGTAAGATAATCCCCGTTTTCAAAAGTGGGGATAAAAATGATCCAGGAAATTACAGACCTATCTCCATATTGCCATCTCTGAGTAAAATTTTTGAAAAACTAATTTTAAATCAACTCTTAGTACATTTTAATATGAACAAAATTTTCCACAATGAGCAATATGGATTCACTAAAGGCAGATCGACAACGGATGCGGGTGTCGCACTTGTCAAGCATATTTATAACGCCTGGGAAAGGTCACAAGATGCAATAGGTGTCTTTTGCGATCTTTCAAAGGCTTTCGACTGTGTAGACCACGAAACCCTCCTTCAAAAGTTAGATTATTATGGCATTCGTGATATCGCCCTCAATCTCATTGCCTCTTACCTTAATAATAGAATTCAAAAAGTATCTATAAATGATGTAAATTCCACAGGGTCCCCCATGAAAATGGGTGTCCCACAAGGATCAATCTTGGGTCCATTATTATTCTTAGTGTATATAAATGATCTCCCCTTTTATGCCAGTGAGTTATGTGATGTTGTACTGTTTGCTGACGACACATTGCTCATTTTTAAGGTTGACCGAAACGTGTCGGATTATGACGACGTGAATAGTGCACTTTCGCGTATCCTCCACTGGTTTACCGTTAATAATATGGTGTTAAATGCTAAAAAAAACTAAATGCCTTCTTTTTACCCTTCCCAGCGTAAGAAGGCGAAGTTTTAGCTTAACATTAAATAGCGTAACCCTTAATCCTGTTGAGTCCGCTGTATTCTTGGGATTACAGTGGATTCAAAGCTCCAATGGAGTCCCCATCTATCATCTCTTGCGAACAGGTTAAGCTCCGCTGTTTTTGCAATTAGGAAGGTTAGGCAGCTATCAGACATCGACACTGCCAGACTTGTTTATTTCAGTTATTTCCACAGCATCTTGTCTTACGGCATTTTGTTGTGGGGTAGTGCATCTGATATAAATTCTATATTTATTCTTCAAAAAAGAGCTGTCCGAGCAATCTATAACATCGGAGCCCGGAATACACTCAGAGACCTTTTTAAAGAGATTAATATACTCACTGTTGCGTCTCAATATATTTATTGTAATATTTTGTATGTTAAAAATAATATTAATAATTATCTAAAGAATAGTGACAGACATAAACTAAATACTAGAAATAAGGAAAAACTAACTACGCCATTGTTTCGTTTACAAAAAGTAAACAGGTCGTTCATGGGGCAAGTGTGCGCATGTATAATAAAATCCCACAGTCGATATTAAGTCTGCCACTTGATGAATTTAAACGAAAAATTAAAAGTAAACTTATGGCTAAAGCCTATTATTCTATTGCCGAATATCTTGACGACGCCAATGTGTGGGGTTAATACTGTTGATACTCACGTAGGCTAAAACAAGACTATTGTACATGTACTATTATATTGTAAACTGATTTTTTTTAAAAAGACAACTGTTGAGTTTCTTGCCGGTTTCTTCTCAACAGAAACTGCTTTCCGAACCGGTGGTAACTTACGAACGTATTAATTTCTTGTAAAATTTTCACGTTTCATAAGAACGCGCAAGCGTCTATGTGAATAAAGATATTTTATTATATTATTATTATTATTATCATAAAAATTTTGCACATATTTTTTACCAAACGCACTAAATATGTTGACTATTAACACATTATGAAACTTTTTCGTGATATTTAATGGAATTAGTCATTTTATATGTCACTAGCTGCTGCCCGCAACTATGTCTGCGTGAGGGGTGAAAATTTAGGATTGCATATATTTTTGTATCCTGTACCATAAAAAAATAAAAGCAAAAAATTTTATACAAAATATATAAAAAAAATTCAGGGGTGGACCATTCTTAACATTTAGGGGGATGAAAAATAGATATTATCCGATTCTCTACCCTGGCGGACATGCACACAAAATTTCACGAAAATCGGTTGAGCCATTTCGGTGGAGTTCAATTACAAACTCTGTGACACGAGAATTTTATATATTAGATTTTATACGAAAGTATTATAAATTTCAATCTGTTCGTAACGAAGAGTAAAGCAAAGTTATGTAAAGTAACACTGCTGGGCAAAAAACTCCACTGGCTTATATAGTCCGACTGCTGGGAAAAGCAGACACAGGTTTATTGGCGCATGCCACCACTCGACCCCACTACGGATTGACGGACTTCGCATATCTTTGAGATATTTCTTTTGTTCTTTCACCGCAATGTGTTCTTTCACCGCCGAGCACGTGATGAGCCAGTACTTAAATTAACAATTTCATTAGTGCCAGCACCGGGGATTGAACTCAATATATCCTGCTCGAGTAAAAAAAAAAGTTAAGTAACAGCCTATACATGTCCCACTGCTGGGCAAGGCCTCCTCTATATAGAGGGTATCAGGGCATAGTCCACCACGCGGCCCCACTGCGGATTGGTGGACTTCACATATTTTCGAAATATATTTTTTTTGTTATTATTTCGAAAATATGCAGGTTACCTCACGATTTTTTCCTTCACCGCGGAGCACGTGATAAGTCAGCACTTAAAGTTAAAAACTTCATTGGTGCCGGCACCGGGGATTGAACTCAGGTTGTTCGAGTATATTGAATTAAAGGTGAGCGCCCGGACACTGAGCTATCACGGCTCACAATGAGCTATCACGGAAACTAAGAGTATAAACATCAGAATCAAACGAGTTATAGTCCGTATAATAATTTTATTTAACAAGTTATATCGATATTGAACTAAAACAAGAATAATGAGAGTACTTTTTTAACTATACTATTTTACCCGTACTTTATATATTTGTACTATATTGTACTATTTTGTACTATACTATTTTAACCGTAATCTTTGAATGTAACAATTGTCTTACATGTACACACACGGGTACTCCCCTGTTACCTTTTTGACACGTAAAGACACTTTTTCATCTTTAATACGATTATGCAATAATAACCAACACTTATTCACAAAAAGTCGCCCATGATAAATCTATCACAAAGGAAGACAATTAATGAGAGAGCATAAGGCTCAGAAGTGTTTTACTTTTAAATACGATGTGTTAAATTTGAACCGATCTCCCGGAGGGTGGTTGGTCATCAATTCGGCGAATTCGGGGTGAGGGGTTTAGCTCGGGGGTAAGCTCTGCCTGGTCTAACCCCTTATTTTACATTTCACACTCCGGGAAAATCGTTAGAGAAATCTGCGTAACGTGTATGTCCAAGACATACGCATACAAACACAATCACTTGCAGGGGTGTGCGTGCGTCCGAGCCCACTCCCCGGTATATCGACGAAACTCTAAGAAATCCTCTTACCTACACGAACATATCAACAACACATATTTGGAAAATATGAATGTGTAATGTAAAATATACGTTTAATTAACTTTAATAGTTAAAATCCATATGTAAACGTTCGGACCGTTTACCTAAACAGGCATACCAAGATTACAGAATTTAGATCTGTACGATCAAATTCAAATTCAATATTCAAATCATTTATTCATCGAAATAAGAAATATACATTTCATTTATCGATAGTAATTTTTTAAATCTACCACCGATCCGTAATGAGGTTCCTCTAACGGAGAGGAAACAGGCGAAAGAAACTCCATAGGTATCCTCTTTTTTGTATTTTTTTTCTCAAACAAAAACATTGTTATACAGTACATATTTTTTTTAGAAACAGCTTAGGAGCGATCATCTCATTCATCAATTAATCAATTTCTTAAACCTGTTAATAGATCCTTGCCATAATTAAGGCATATGCCTCGCAATGCTTTTGTATTATCGCCATTTAGCCAATATATTTGACTTTCAAACGACAGTCTAGTGCGCCCTCAACCAACTTTAACTTAATCATTACATAAAAAAAGGTTTGTTTAAAACAACAAAACTCAGCCGTTCAATATTCCTTACACTATTGTAGCGCGCTATATTTCCCTATTAATTACGAAGCTGTACGTACATAGATGCAATTCACATGTATTTGGTCGGTTTTAATTAGAGCGGTGTTGGGGTTGCGAGAAGACAGGCGGAAGCGCTCGGGGGACAGAACAAGAGGCCGATCTATTGAAAGATGTCGCCGCAGGGTGGCGGGCCTACTGGTCACATACATTATTACCGTACAATGTCGCTATGCAAATGTATGTAGGAAGGGCCGCTTGTACGCGCTTACGTATACGGGCCGGGGGGGTGCCGTCTCCACACAATCCTCTCCCCCGAAGATTGTACGCATGTGGGTGTGCGCGGCACTTTCTCTTGCAGCTCGCCACTGGCTTTTTAGGGGTGGCGGGTGCGGGCAGGGCGGCGTTCCGAGCGGGTGACCACGGCGCTCCAGCGATCGCCCTGCCGGCCTCTACGAGTGAGCTCCTTTAGCAGCACGCGTCGAAACCAATGCCGAGTCGCTTTCGTTGGTGACCACGCAGAATCACGCCCAACAACCGTTGAACCCTGTTCGTTTTCATTATAATTGGAAAGAAAAAAAACGCAAGGTTAGAGCAGCATCGGAAAATTTCGAGCTCACTTAGCGAAAAGCGGACGAGGACCGCTCTCGATCCGTCGCACGCTTAGTCGGGGGCTCTGTTTAATTGAGTACACTCAGCGCCCTCGCCAAATGATAATCCTCTGTTACCGAAATACCTGTAATAGATGTTAATTAGAGCGCCGCTCCGCACCGTGTTGCAAAGAAAAAATATAATTTGAACAGGTCGTAATTAGAGATGTTTGCCTAACTGTAAAACAAATATTTTCTTAATTTTTTTTAATATATTTTTTCCTCTTTAGAAGCGTAGGGTCGGGTTTAAGCATATTTATTTTCCTCGGGAGGTTCTCAAGGCTGCAGGGCGAAATATTTAATTTTTTCGCAATAAAGACGCTACGGAGTGGTCCGTTAGAATGTAAGAATAATATTTTGTAAAATGTTTAATTCGAAAGTTTCGTCTGAATGTTTGCTTGTCTTGTGGGAAGGATTTGAATCGACGGCTCTTATTTGTCCACGACATAGAAGCATATTCCACTTCACCAAACTGTCCATTTGGTGCAGTAGCAGATGACGTCATCACAAGAATCGAAACCGCGTCGGGCGATGGATTTCGGCGTAGGTCGCCACGTACCAACGTAGGGCGGACACGGCTCGTTTGAATCGAACGCACGTCCGGGGCCCTCCCCTAGGGGTGTGTAGTGGACTTTTCGCTCGGCCTGATATATATTTTCCATTCCTCCCGACACCGGCTACTGCGGCTGTAGGTTCCGGGACGCGGCGACGGTGCTCCGCTCGCATTAACATGCGCCTCCCGGGCCGCACGCCTCCTCCTTTCATTATCGCCTCAAAATCCCACTCTCTCCTGTAAATTCTACATCGCTTTAGGTCTTTCCACACGGAACGCACAGTTGAACCCCTCGTACGTTTTCGTATTCGATACGTTCCGTTTGGCAGCCACAATATTTTTGCTAAGGGTAACACCATCCCGACCCGGCTGCAGGAGGGATAAGATTTGTTCATGGTGTGATCTTAATTTTTTGATACGTTATAACCCAACAAGTTTAAAAACAATTTAAAGTTTGGTCCATTTGATAATCGATATAACGACACGTAGTATTTTTATTAGCAGCTGTGCAAATTGCGACAAGGGTTATGTTACTAAAACTGAAAAGCTTTTATTTAACTGCGTTCTCATTTGGCATCCTATGGCAGTCAATTCTAAGGGCAATGCCACACCACCACCTATGATATCTTAAACAATTTCCTTTTTTCTCCAAGGGTTATCCGCCGTAGCCGTTCATAGCAAGAAAATTCCACATAATTATGTGTAACATTTCTATCCACTGGTAACCTTGCCGTCAATATGTAGAAGAACAATTCTAGTAACACAGCAAATTGTAATCATAAGAATGGAGCAGTTCCAAAAAAGAAGTTAAAGTAAATTCCTGATTGTTGAGAAAAAGTAGGAGGTAGAAGATGGTGGCTTGAACACGATGGAGGAACTCTGGCAAGGTTACTCACTGTTCTTTACATAATGAACTCTGCAGTAATTATACTTCTTCATTTTTATTCTCACAACGTACAAATTAAATCAAAATATATTTATTCGCTAATGTGAGTAAATATATTGTGATTTGCAAGATTTAATCTGGCGTGCTTAGCGTTCTTGGCACCATGCCGCGTGAATTAGGCCACGCGGCATGGTGCCAAGAACGCTAGCTGCATTTCCTCGCTGAATAGTTATGCTTAACCTTTGAGCGAGAAAAGAACCAGCTCTCTCGTCCTGATTTGATTTAATTATAATTTAGCGTGGACACTTGCAACACCCGAAGAGTTGCAGAGGCGTTACTACCATTTAATAAATTGGATGATATCGGTAGGGCCACGGGAACGCTTTTGTACACTTCTGCGATCCTGCCAACGCTGGCTGCCTCAGCAGCCCCATCCCGGAGATCAATTCCCTTCTCCTCCAGTTAAGGCACGCTGGAACATTCAGCGCGCCTTCCTCCACCTCTACCACTCCCCTGCACCCTCCAGCACGCATCCAGAATGGGCTCAGTGAGGCCACTTGGAGCGGCCCTCTCGGACCAACCTTACACCACAGGCCGGTCCAGTGTGGGTTCCTCTTAGCTTCGCCGTGGGTGACCAAGCCACGGCTACTAAGCCCCTCCGCCACGTTAAGGCGGAAACCCGGTCGGAGGATTTAAGCCCCGGAAGTGGTGACAGTAGCAGCAGCTCGCCATGGGAACCTTTGCCTTTGGCCAGCATTGCACCCGGGCGACAGGCATGGTGGTAATAGCCGCTCAATATGACGCTCGTTAAGAGTGCTGTGCTAATTGGACCGGCAAAACACCATATGGCAGAATTGAATTTCCTAGCACCCAAAGAGAGGAGGCCTGAGAAGGCCACTGTTGGGCCGTTGTCGCCTTCTTGTTCCTGTGCCCGTGGCAGATGCGACGAAGATAAACACATTGCTTTCCATCATAGTGGGAACTCTGTGCAAACAGTGAATGGTGTCTAGGTTGAACACTCCAGTGTGTTGGGCCTTCTCCTCCGTACATAATTTACAGCTTTCTGCTATGGTCCCTCCTGAACCCTCGAAACATATAATGATAGTTCTAAAACAACTAGAGCAGAGCTGCATCGCACCCTAGGTGAAAGCACCGTTTCACTTGTCCAGACATGTACTGATGTATAGTCTCCACGGCTATGAGGCCGGCGTTGTGCTACTCCAGTCACTGCTCCTACTCTGGCACGATGGCATTTGGATGCAGGCAATCCAAGTTCGCCGAGGCCTGCGTATAACCTTAAGCGTTTGGCTCAGGCTCCGTCATTTGCAACCGAGGTGGAAAAGAGAGTTTGAGGAGTTTATTAGTATCGGTAAATGTTCCATTCTTCCGTTGAAGCGGGGAAAATGCCTACGCACTACCCTCACGGGGGCAAGGACGGCTTATATCGGACTCGCCGTTGCATATCGGCAGGGCCACGGAAACGCTTTCGCACACTTTCGTTACCCTGCCAGCATTGGTCACCTCAGTAGCCCCTTCATCATCATCATCATTTCAGCCTGTTTGACTCCACTGCTGAACATAGGCCTCCCCCAAAGACTGCCACGAAGCAAGATCCTGATCCACCTGCATCCATCGATTTCTCGTACATTTGCACAGGTCGTCACTCCGTCAAGGGGGTCGTCCTACACTGCAATGGCCAGTACGAGGCTGCCACTCGAGAACCTTTCTTCCCCTGCAGCTATCCGTTCTATGAGCTATATGACCGGCCCAACGGCACTTCAGCATACTAACCGACATGGCTCAGAAGGTTTGTTGTTTGTTATACTGCGGATGTCTTCGTTGCGAACTCTATCACACACAGAGAAATACCACTCCATAGCTCGCTGAGCAACTTTGAGTTTCCTCATAAGGCCAGCAGTGAAGGACCACGTTTCAGTTCCGTATGTTCTCACTGGAAACACACATTGATTGAAGACGTATTAAAACATTGAGGTATATTCGACATGAAAATTATCCGAAGTTTCCCGAACGCTACCCATCCGAGTTGGATTCGCCGATTGACCTCTACGTCGAAGTCTAACTTCAACGCAGAGGTCAATTATCAAAAAAATTGTTAGTCCCACTATCTTAGGTGTACATACTGGTCAACAACTTCGAGCACAGTGCTCCCAACAACCACCGGTATAGGCGTGACATGGACATTAGACATTATCTTTGTCTTGCCCATGTTTATCTTAAGGCCCACCCGTTGAGAAACACTGTTAAGGACATTGTCATTGAGCATAGTACTAAGGTCCTCCAGCGATTCTGCCATGATGACTATGTCGTCGGCAAATCGAAGGTGGGTAATGTTATTCACCATGTTTATACCACGTCCTTTCCAGTCCAGAAACTTGAAAACATCTTCCAACGCAGCGATGAAGAGTTTCGGTGATACAACATCACCCTGTCTTTCACCCTTCTGTGGTTGGATAGGTTTTATACTACTGGACTGTACTTGGACGGACATCGTAGCATTTTTATACAAACACCTCAGCACCTCGATATACCGACAGTCAATTTGGCACCGCTGAAGGGCCAAGAGTACCGTTCAAATTTCGACAGAATCGAAGGCTTTTTCATAGTCCACATACGCTAGGCACAAAGGCAGTATAATCTTTGGTCTTCTGTATAATCTGTCGCAAGGTGTGTATGTGGTCTATGGTACTGAAGCCTTTTCTGAATCCGGCTTGTCCGTTTGTCGAGTCTGGAAGCGAGACGTTTCAAGATGACTCTTGAAAACAGCACGTAGACGTGGCTCAGAAGGAATATCGGTCCATAGTTCTTTAAGAAAGCGTTATCGCCTTTTTGAAGAAGAGCACCACCACACTTCTGCTCCACGCCTCTGGTGTAGCACCATCCTGAAGGGTGGAATTAAAGAGCCTCTGAAGGACTACAAGTACCAGTTCTCCATCCGCTTTCAGAAGCTCTGCTGTAATTCCGTCCTCTACTGATGCTTTGCTATTCTAAGGTGGTCAAGAGCCATTCTAATCTCGTTCAGACTGACGTCCGGGATAGTAGCCCCTTATCGGAAAGCAACTCCCCTTTCCTACAGGTAAAGTACGCTGAAACATTAAGCGCGCCTTCCTATTCGGCTCTTTTTTAACGGCCAAAGAATTCACTCAAGTTCGCCGACCAAAGGCCATAAGAGTATGGGGGCTAATAAAACATAAGCTTCATGGGAGAGGAGCCCGTGCTAATAAGCAGCATGCCTCCTAACTCCAGCGGCATACCTGGTCTTTGACTCCTCCGCTCATCAGTTTTCGGTCTGTGTTTGTGTTGATAAGTTTAAAGCTCAGCAGTTGTTTGCATGAAAGCCATTTATTTCAACCTGCTAGTTATAATCTAGTTATATTCCGCATAAGCTGCTATTAAAGTTTATTAATCCATTGAGGTTAAAATCAAGAAGTCAATATGAAAACTAAATAATGTTCATAATGGAAGAGGTTACCGAAAATTTTAAGGTTTTCGTTAGAAGTTATATCATGTATTGATTCTGTTTGTTTGGTATTGTTATCCTTCAACTTAAAATACAATGAATTTCAATAAAAATAGGTGCGCAACAGTACACAAAGGTATTTAAGTATAAAATTAGCAACAGCTAGGGGACTTGCAAGTGCAGAGTCATTTCCAAGCTGCTGAAAAAAAATAGTGGCTTATGATTTTCTTGCCCTAGTCTTGCCTTTAATTTCTGTTTTTTTTTTTAGGTTTGATTTTCTAATTTATATAAGTAGTTAAATTAAGTGATAGACTTCTGTCACAACTCCACTTAAGGAGAAATGTGTTAGCTTTCGGCTATCCTCGAAGCTTTCGCATGTTAAAATATTGTAACAAATTAATCTAGCTCTCCGTTTGCATTCCGTTTGCATTGCATTTGTCTTATGTTTTCGCCATTGGAAAATGGTGATTAAAATACAGAAATGTGAATTCAAACATCTATACCAAAACAAAAAGCAAACCATATATTCCAAACAAACAAATTATTCCACACTTGTAAAAATACAGCTATTTTTAAAATTTACCAATAAAAAGAGAAAAGGCAGAAATTTGTTGAAGACCGAATCGAAAACCGACGAATTTCGAGTAGTCAAGCAAAAATCACTAAATAAGGAGAAAATAAAACGAAATCCAAAAAATTTTTTATTTTAATTATTATGCTGTATCATAAAAAAATAAAAACAAAAATTTTTATATAAAAAATAAAAGAAATTAGGGGTGGACCACCCTTAACATTTAGGGATATGAAAAATAGATGTTATCCGATTCTCCACCCTGGCAAATATGAAA